ACAAAGAGAGATGAGAGCAGATAAAGAACAAGCTACGCGTATTTGAGGTTGAGAGAAGAGATGAGAGGACAATTATGATATTAGGTTTTAACGTTTTGCTCTTCAAGACATCACGCTCACATGCGCAAGAGAGAGATAGGGTCTGAACCGGGTCAGGGCTGGGGCGTGCGGGTCTTCGGGCCTAGGCGCGGGTTTCAAAGACTCGGGCCGGGTCTCTCGTTTCTTACGGTCTCACATAGCCATATGAACTCGATTCGATCGCGCGATAATTAAATTAAAGCCGGATATATATATATATTACTTATATAATACACACATTATTTAATTAATCATAATAAACAATTTGGCAAATAATGACAATTAGACATTAATAATAATAATAATAATAATAATAATAATAATAATAATAATAATAATAATAATAATAATAATAACAAACGATAAATAATAATGATAAAAATAAATAATCTCAGAATTATTCATAAATAAATGGGTTAGATCCGATTCACACGATTTTTCCGAAATCGTCGAACGACGAACGTTTTCCAATAAAAACGATCGAGTACTCCAACCTTTTATTTAAGTCGACATCGCGACTAATAAAATAAATAAAACCTTGTAATAATATTCAATAAATAGAATATTCTGAGAAATTCTATAAATCGAACGGGGCGCTACAGAAGTAGTGTGAAGTCAATCTTGAATAATAAATCTCGATAAAATAGAGAGATCGATATAAGCCTTGCCCTTGCCAGAAGTCGAGCAGCATAGCGAGACCGATGGTAGGTGTCGGATCGACCCGATCTCTATCGACTTTAAGGAAAGTCGAGAGAAGGTAGTCTACGACCTCATGAGAATCAGGATTGTCATGTAAACGAAAGGGTTGCTCCAAAGTAATCAGTCGAACTTGGATAGGAGAAGGAGCAGGGCTCTTGACCTCTTTCTCTTTGCCCTCACGAGCTTGATGCTCTTTGGGTCGAGAACCCGCTTGCGTGAATGGAAGTTGGGCGGATTCTTAAACGACTTTCTGGGAGGACTTTGGTCCTTGCATCATGATCAACGGTCTTCTCGACCGTTAATACATTCAAACCCAAGACGACCTCGAGTTCTTTATTTGGCTGAGAGGCAGCAGGGTTTTGAGACTTGCCCTCTGGCTTCTGCTTCTAGGTCTCGAAGCGGTGAAAAAAAGAATCTGCGATAATTGAAAAGAGATGAGAATAATCCCAACATATAATAACTCGAGATCTTAGATTAACGACGTACCAAGATTCTTAATTTGAGGGGAATCCTCGTACGTACAAATACCACATTGATTAAGAAACGAGCGATCCCTAATCAGTTGACGAGCACTCAAGATGTGCTTTCGTCTACCATGGCCGCAAATTGGGTGGATTGAGGACGTTTATGCTGCTTAACCTTATCGGTCAGCCAGACATTGGTAAAAGGATAGCGACCAAAGGGAGGACGGATATAGAAGAACTTCGACTTCCAGTCAGTCACGTTGGAGGAGAGATCGTTAAGGAAAGTAACTCCGGGACGACGATCCAAACAATGAGCGTTCTTAATGATCTTATACCCATAATAGTAGAAGAAGAACTCGGACGTGAAATAACGTAACTTTATCTTGGAAATTATTATAAAGGCTATCATTATGCAAATAACGTTAGGAGCAAATTGATTTATTGGGATATTATACAGATTACTTATTGTGAGCAATTTAGATTGAATGAGAAAACGAAGGCCAAAGACGACTTGGTCCATGAAGAACGTATAACAACCTCAAGAAGGGTTGGCGAAATTTTCATTAGGACCAAAGGCGATTATCTCCTAGTCAGAGGGCAGCCCGCTATATGCTCTAAAGCCTTCGAGTTCGGCTGCAGGGGCATAATAAAAAGGATTTAGAATAACTATCTTAACTAATGGACATGCTATTGTTACAACATCTCGAGGCTCGAGAAGAGGAGTAATTATTGGTAAAAGAATAAAACTAGTTCTATACACAGGAATGTCTAGGAACCTAAGGGGTATACCTCGAGGGATGGGGTCGAGTCGAGGGTAGTTCCCCGCCTGAGAAGGATTTTCCGGGTCATCCATTAGAGTACCTGACAATAAAGCCTGATTATACTCGTCCTAGTCGACCCCGCAAAAGGAACTTTCTGCATCACGAGTAGGGTTTTCCTGCTCGAGAGCTGGCCCAAAACCGATTATTTGTACAGAGTCGGAAGAGCTCGAGCCCTCATCGATCAGACGAGCAAAAGAATCAAGAGAGGAAGCGGAATCTAGTGAGCATGTTAAAAGAAATCATAATCAGTAGGCTGAAGTGTAACTACTCGTGATCAATTAAAAGACCGCTACGACCAAGAGGTAAATGATTCGCATATGAGATTCAGAGATAAGTCGACTCGTGAAAAAACAATTACCACAGGTTGACTCGTGAAGAGAACTATCAAATCAACTCAGAATCTAAGTCGGCTCTGGGGAAATGCTCGTGATTAATTAGAAACCACGAGGAACGGAAAAGAAGAAGAAGAAGGATCTTAGGGGTGATTATTTATGAGTGACAATTGAACCGGGCTAGAGGAACAAATCAAGTCGACTTAAGAGAAAAGTCGACTTACGAAAAGTGTCTGTCAAGCCGACTCGACTTAAGGTCCTACGTCGATTTACAATAAACAAAATATTCAAATAATGGAGGCATGATGAAGATCTAATGTTAAAATTACCAGAAGTTATGCAAGTCATACGAAGAACATGAAGAACACTCATGTGACATTCAACTTAAAAACCCAGAAAACAAAAAAAAAATCACATAAATTGTGAAGGAACGAAGAACTTACACATAGTGATTCACAGAAAATGTGGAAGAACTTCAAGAAATTATGCAAAAAACCCGAAGAAGCACTGGATGCCGAAAAACCCTTAGAGAGATTTGAGAATAAAGAGATGCAAAAAATGACCTAAATGAGGAGTGGAAAGCTTTTATAGTCAAATTCAAGAATTACAGGCCCTTGGATCATGAGAAGATCCAACAATTGAGATAGGGCGCAAAATTCGAAGAGGTGGGAGATGAAACGACACAAGTCTTTTCTAAAGCAGTTTTTATGTCAGAATTTCAGAAGCATTTAACCGCCAAAATATACTCTTAAGCTCGAGATCGCTTAGAGTAATTTTGAGGGGGGACTAGATGATATGGCCGTACTCGGGTAAACCGGCTACAACAGCTCGACTGGGTCTCAAGTCGAGATAGACCCTGATGATTTGAGTTGGATACACGACTTAGGATCATGAACATGACAACGAAAGACTTAAGAACCTTGATAAAGTTCATTAGATCAACTAAGGCATAATAACTCGAGTCAACCGACCCTGATGAAGAGCAGCTCGAGGACACTGATAGCAGATTTAAATCAAGCAAAGGGATGATTGCTCCCCTCCTCGTCATGAGCACCTCGAGGTCGACCTCACTCTCCTCTCTCAGCTCGAGGTCGACCTCCTCTATTATTACGCCAACAAGTAGTCTACATCCAAATCTCGAAGTCGACTTCACTATTCATATAGATCGAGGTCGACTTATCGCACTAAGGATCTAAGAACGACTTAAGGACAAGTGTCAAGACCTCCTAAGATGGTGATTCCATCCCTTTACTAATTCTAAGTCGACCTCCTGTTGCTCGAGGTCGACTTCTTACGCCTTGAAGTTCGAGGTGTGCGATAACTGAGGCTACTTCAGTACTCAGATGGGCTTAACGGATCAGAATGAATCTTTAAAGGATAAGATGGAATCTTAAGCTGACTCAGAGGTGATTAGGATATGGATAAAGCGGGCAGGTGGGCAGGCCGACCGGGGGCATTCCGGGCAAATATTTTTTTCTATAAAAGGGGATGAGGTATGACCAAACCCTAATTTTTACACTTTTTACACATTCCATATGCTACTGCTCTACATGCAGAGCACTTTCCTCTATTCTTGATACTGACTTAAGCATCGGAGACTCTATATCAGAAACCCCTCCGGCGTTGAGTTCTTGCAGGTATTTGTGGCGATCTAGAGGCGGTTCAGACAAATCGGAGCTCATCTCAACCGGTTTACTCCAGATCTAGGAGAAGACCCATCAGTCGGCTAGTGGACTGCGACACTGCCCAGTGTGCTGCCAACTCATCTATTGTTCTATAAGCTCTACTTGTATCGGAGTTCTATCTGCAGGTGAAAGGGACAGTTTTATCCAACGATTGGGAAAATAAGCACAAAAGAAGATAAGAGAGCTAGGGTAAGAAAGGGAAATAAGAACAAAGAAGAGAAAGAGATATCTTAGGGCAAGAAAAGTTGGGAAAGCAAGGGAAATAAAAAGAAAAGTAGAGGAGATAGATATTATGTGATATAAGAGTTAAAGTCACGCCTCGCCAGATTAAAATTGGGTTAGTTGTGTCTTGCGCTTCTGACGTGGATTGATCACGTCAGAGTGTAGTTTAAAAGGTGGGAACTGGATGGGGGAAGGAACATTTTTGTTTTGACGATTTTGGAACTCCACATCTGTCGTATTTTATATGGAATCCTTTGTCTCAATGAAGGTAGTTATGAATTTTTACCTGATAGTACCCATCCCAACTCACTAGTTTGTGGGTTGGGCACGAGTTTATTAGATTTAGGGCGTGCTTGGATGCACATATATGGGGTCAAAATGATTTTTTTATTAACTAGAGTTAATTTTGAAAAATGTAGTATAGTTAGTTGTTAGTAGAATTTTGATTTTGTATTAAAATAATATTTAAATTAAAATAAATAAAGTGATTTGATATAAAAATAAGAGAGAAATTATATGAAGTGATGATTAGTTAAATTGATGTGAGTGAATGGATAGTGAATTAAAATTGATGTGTTGTGTAAGAATGATTGAGTGATATTATTTAATTATATTAATAATATTTAATATGATAGAGTTAAATTAAAGATATATAGACTGGAATATAAATTGCAAAAATTTATAAACAAACACACCTATTTGAACGCGCAATCAATCAGGTTCTCCGCCACTGTTCACTACGAACTTTGCCCTTCTTCCAAGAAATACCGTGAAACAGAGATATATAAAAATAAAGAGACGAAAATAAATTCAAAACCCCAAAATTGATTCGCCCTTTTTTTCTTTGTTCCCTAAAACTTCTGAAATCTCTCTCCGATCTTTCACTTCTAGTACTCATCCCCATAAACCCTTCTCCCCAATCTATTTGATCGAAACCCTAAGTTTGTTGGAATCGACCTACAATGGCTGCGGCGACGATGGTCAGTTCAGCGGGTGGGCTGCTTGCTATGCTGAATGAAAGCCATCCGGCACTGAAGCTACATGCGCTCTCGAATCTCAACGCTTTTGTTCACTGCTTCTGGCCGGAGATCTCGGATTCTGTGACTGTCATGTAAATACCCTTTTATCTTTTTTCTTTCTTTTCCTAAAATTACGGTATGGCTGATGAATTTTGTTTAATTTTTATGTTTTAAGGTTCTCAGATTTCGAATTGAGTGTTTTGGTTATGTTTCTGTGGAAGTGTGTCGGGGCGTCGGTTTCATATAGAAAGCCTTGTAATTGTGGATGCTATTCTAGTTCTTTGTTACTTCAATTTATAACTAAGGCATTATTAGGTTCTTGTAATTTGGATGTAGTTGGTGATGATCTGGTATTGGTACCTTGATGTTTGTGGTTTTGGTAATAGCTAACAGTTCTTTGAAAGGAGGACGTTAGTTGATGTGAATATGGTATAATGTGCCCCCTTTTTTTTTTTAAATGAATCGAAATGATGTATTTGTTCAGTTTCTGTATTCTTTGACGCCCACGTTATTGGGTTTCAAGTTATTTGAAAACCCTAAATTTGATTTGATTTCTTTTAACCTGCTATTTTTATAATATGTTTATTTTTGTCGCACCTGACTATTGTATCAGTCCCTGAATTATTGTTTGACGGTTTATTTAGTTAACCACTTGCATGCATTTTTTGTTTTCTTTTTGATACTACCTTATATGAAATTCTAGTATTACCATAATGGTATTTAATCATTGATCATGGCTGCTTATTTGGTTTCAAGCTTGTTTTTGTTTTCATTAACTTAGCTGTTGGCAATTTCTCTCATGTCGAACAGTTTGTAATATTTTATTTCTAATGCGAATTGTCTGGTTTGTTTTGAGGGCAGAGAAAGCTTGTATGAAGATGAGGAGTTTGACCAGAGGCAGCTTGCTGCTTTGCTTGTTTCAAAGGTAAAATTGTCTTGTGCTTTATTCCAGTATTATTTTGTGTTGATATTGTTTTTTGCTCCTTTTCTATGTCTATTGGGATTTACTTGATTGTCTACTTATTTGGCCTCAAAGAAGTAACTTTTTGAATTATGAGGTTACGTTGATTCCAAAGAAGATTAAGCTTCAATGAACACTTTTCTCCACTGTCTTGTATGTTCAGGGTTTAGGTTTAGTTCTCCAGGTTTATTGTCTTCGACCTGAAGTTGGATTTTCAAGGAAGCATTTATGTATTGTACATATATTAAATAGGATATGTAAAACTTTTCTGTTCAGCTGCTTTGGACTGGATTGGATGATGATGACTATTCACCAACATCACTCAAAGCTCCTCACTTATAATTACATGGAAGCTAGTGAATTGTCATCATTATTTATTAAGTATTCTGGATTGCTGATTGCCTGAATTACTAGTACTTTAAACATTACATATTTCTTCATTGGAAGTATTTTCAAAAAATTTCTGATTTATTATGAGTTGTGTTAACAGCTAGTATGCAGTACCTCTACTTGGTGCAGATAACAAGTACATCCCGTCACATGTCTATTTCTGCAAAACCTACTTGAAACTTGTTGATAACTACACCATACTATGCATTTTGTGCCACAGACATCTATAATTCTTTTGTTTGATTCCTTACTTGTCCATATTGGTAGTATAAGGATGCCCGAAATAGTCGAGTTTTTTTTTTGGGCCTAGCTTATTGGCTCTTGAATACATTAGTGTTTTGGATCCAATTAACTCGTTAAATTTTGATGTGCAGTACACCAAATAGACCATTTCTTGTGTGCAAACCGGCCTTACCCGAGGAAACACTCGAGGAAACACTCTGATGAAGTGTAAATCACCAATAAAGCTTGTATGATAGCGTCACACTATAATATGAGAGATAAATAAAAATTAGTTTTTATTATACCTTTTAAAGCGTATGTCTAGACTTTTGGATTATTTCTGTAGCAAGATGTATTCAAATCCTGTAAAAATGTGGCAGACCCCTTTTGAGGAAGGAAGAACATCTACTTCACCTAATTTTAGGATTATCCTGCAACTTCTTGTTCGTAGGTCGTTTAAGCCATGAGATGATTTACTAGCTCGATTAGTAGTACCATCAGCTCGATCATCGTTAGGTCATCCAAGGACCCTTCATCGAGTTGAGTCTAGCTCTTTATCGCATAAAACTGTTGACCAATCTACTCCTAGGAGTCTCTACCAAGCTAAGAACATCTCCAATGGTTCATGATTGTTCATTTTTATTGCCATGTGTCATAATAAATCTTATGTGGCATTCAAATGTCTAGAAGTCTTTCTATATCGTACTTCTAGACATCATCTATTATATTTTTTATTATTTATTAAATATATTACTCATGTCAAATTAAACTAAAATTAACATTTACCATTGGAGACAAAATTTTATAATTTTCTTTCTCCATGTCATACATCTCCAAAGGAGAATATACCATTGGAGATGCTCTAAATAAGCTATCACAAGCTTTATCTCTAGTTCAAGCGATTTAAGTAAATCGGACAAGCTACCAGGCCACTTTGGATTGCCACATAAATTTATAAATTTGTATGATATAATCTTCTCAAAGGGGCTTATAAGATGCAAAAATAAGTTCTTTCTAGGATTGCATATGTTTCTCATAAGTACCACCACCCATCTTCTCTGTATAACCCCAAAATGAAGCCCTCCTTTTCTACCCCTCCTTTTCTTAACATTTTAAAGCATCTTATAAGCCCAAAATCTGTTTTTAACTAAACCTTTTAACAGTTCTTATGAAAATGAAGACATCTTGTTTATAGAGAAATAGGGGCTTGTAAGATCTTTTATGTATCCCTTTTGACTATTTGGTATCTATAACAATTTCTTCACTTGGTTATACCAAGCTCAAGTATGAATATCTGTCCAGTTGATTTGAGTTCCATGGTTCTTGCAGTGATGATGTACTTTAGTGATGATGTACTTGTGTATGAGAATTTGAGACGTACCCTATATTTGTAACATCTATTTAGATATCAGCATAATGTGTCTCTTGTTGAGTGTAAAATTTCTGTTACTTGGAAAACATACCTAATTATAATGGTAAATGTATAATCATAGGTGTATCCTTTTGGGATTGTGAGTGACATTTTAACACTTTAAATTTCTCAGATGGAATTTGGAGGTGGAGGTGAGATTTGGAGTGAGATTTTGTATACGTTTTTTTCTTTTAAATCTCAACAAAGCTTAGAAAGTCATAACAAATCCCAATGTCAAATAAGTTAAATACCTCAGGATTTTGTAAGACTTTAAAATCTCAAATGAGAGTTTTAAAAGTCTTAAAAGAAAAATGCTACATATTATGTACATAGAGGTGTACATAACACTCACATGAAGTGGGGTCCACATGATTTTTTATTTTTGGTCGGTCCCACTCAATATGAGTGTTATGTACATTCCTATGTACAATATTATGTACCTATAGCATTTCTCGTCTTAAAAAGTCGTATTAAATGCACCAGGGTTTTTGAAATCTTAAGAAGTCTCTAGAAATCTGAAATGAACACACGCCTCTAATTATAATGGTAGAAAAAAAAATCAATTATGATATCTTACAGAAGGTTTTTATATTCAATGTTTCTACTTACAGGTTCTTGTGTTTTCTGTCATCAGGTTTTCTACTACCTGGGAGAACTAAGCGACTCATTGTCATATGCCTTGGGGGCTGGTTCACTTTTTGATGTATCTGAAGATTCAGACTATGTTCATACTCTTCTGGGTAAGAATTATTTGCTCATCATATTTTTTTTCCATATTTTGTGTATGTTAAGCTTGCAGTACTCTGTACTTCCCCTTCTAATATTCTTGGAAATTTTTTCTCATCCAATTTCCTCCATATTTAGATGCTAAGCTGCAATAACTTAATGAGGATGAAATTATCTTTTGTGATGTCAGTCTGAGACAACTAACTAGGTGATCTTGACGAGAGTCTTCCTCTGCTTTGTTGTTTCTAGTAGTTTATATAACACTATTGTTTCCTGCAGCCAAAGCAATTGATGAATATGCCAGTCTAAGGAACAAAATGGCTGAGGCGAATGATGATTCAGCTGTGATTGACCCTAGACTCGAAGCAATTGTAGAGAGAATGCTTGATAAGTACGCAAAATTGTCATTTCATTTACCAAACCTAGTACCATTGTTGCAAATATGATTTTCTATCACCTTCTCCACAGATGCGTAGTAGATGGAAAATATCAACAAGCCATAGGAATGGCCATTGAGTGCAGACGACTTGATAAGCTTGAGGAAGCTGTTATGAGAAGTGATAATGTTCATTCTACGATAAATTATTGCATTGATATCTGTCACTCGTTCGTCAACCGAAGAGAATATCGACGTGAGGTGACACTATGTAGCCTATTTTACAATCATGTTTCTATTAGACCTTTTCTCATTTGCTTGTAGTTGTGCTCTCAGTTGATTAATGATTTGGTGCTACTCTTTTTAAGAAAATTTATATAGTGCATGGATAATGACGTTTGCCCATGGCTTTCCGTTCATGAACTAATATAGCAGAAAGTGGGTATGTGAGGATTCAAATCATGGATCCAGTGTAACTAATATTTTATTTACTGAATTTTATCAATTTTTATTAGTTATATGGGATTATTTAATGCATATTAGACATTCTTTATCCTTGGAAGCGAACACATCCTGGCATAGTACATAATACATAGGTTCTGAATGAATTTTCACGAGTGACTTGTAGTTAGTAAATAATATTTAGCTCCAATTTAAGATTTTGAACTGAAATGTATAGTCAATGGAGTGGTTTCATGTGAATTGAGGTGAAATGATTTATCATTCCACGTGTAAGAAGTGGTTGTTTTTGGATAGTATAGATAGTACCAGTTTCACATGCTTATGCATGACATGCTTTTTCACACTATGATTTACTTTCAGGTTCTCCGTCTTCTTGTCAAAGTGTATGAGCAGCTGCCATCTCCTGATTATCTGAGTATTTGTCAGCGCCTGATGTTTTTAGATGAACACGAAGGTGTCACTAGCATATTGGAGAAACTTTTGCAATCAGAAAATGTGGATGATGCACTGTTAGCATTTCAAATAGCCTTTGATCTTGTGGAGAACGAGCACCAGGCCTTCCTTTTGAAGGTGAGAGATCAGCTTCCCAGTCCCAAGCCTCAGCCTTCAGTGCCCGTGCAATCGTCAGAGACTGCTCATCCAGATTCTACCGCCAGTGTAGATGCCGTCGCATCAGAGGATGTTCAAATGATTGACGGAGCTCAGGCAGACAGCAACTTAAAACTTACTGATACACGACAAGCAGTATATGCTGAGAGACTAACAAAGATAAGGGGAATTCTGTCTGGAGAGACTTCAATACAGTTGACATTGCAATTCTTGTATAGTCATAACAAGTGAGGCTAATTTTCCTTTCATTGTAACTTAATGTTTATGTTTTAGCCCATTACCATTCTGAGCCGAAGTGATCAGAAGTATAATGCAACTGGTGTTTCTCGTGCATTTACAGATCAGATCTTCTCATTCTTAAAACAATAAAGCAATCTGTTGAGATGAGAAATAGTGTATGCCACAGTGCAACTATATATGCCAATGCTATTATGCATGCTGGTACAACTGTCGATACATTTCTCAGGGAGAATCTGGTACACACCTAAATGATTAGCTTTTCGTTTTGTTTTTGTTTCTCTTATACGATTTGTTCGATTTCAGTACTTTTAGTTAATACTTGTGTGTAAATTGTCAGGATTGGCTGAGTAGAGCTACAAATTGGGCTAAATTTAGTGCAACAGCAGGACTTGGCGTCATACATGGAGGCCATCTACAGCAAGGACGATCTCTAATGGCACCTTACTTGCCCCAGGGAGGGGCTGGTGGTGGTGGCAGTCCATACTCTGAAGGTGGAGCTCTGTATGCTCTTGGTTTGATTCATGCAAACCATGGTGAGGGCATCAAACAATTTTTGCGCGAGAGCCTTCGAAGCACAAATGTCGAGGTCTGTGGACTTTTTCATAATATCTTTTTCTTTTCCTTACCATATTTTTTCTGTTTGAGAAAACCTATGGCTAAAATGTGTTGAGCTGTTGAATTCTGCAGGTTATCCAGCATGGTGCATGCCTAGGTCTTGGTCTGGCAGCATTGGGAACTTCTGACAGCGACATCTTTGACGACATAAAAAATGTGCTGTACACCGACAGTGCTGTTGCTGGAGAGGCTGCTGGAATTAGCATGGGTTTGCTTATGGTTGGCACTGCTAGTGAGAAGGCTGGGGAAATGCTCGCTTATGCGCATGAAACCCAGCATGAGAAGATTATAAGGTAAATCAGGTTCTGAATCTGTGAATATGGGAAATAATTCTGACAATTCTTTTCTTTCCTCAATGAAAAGTTCATTTTCTTCTGGTCAATTTATGTTGTGTATGGCTTGTAAATAGGGGTTTGGCCTTGGGGATAGCACTTACAGTCTATGGCAGAGAGGAAGAAGCGGATACATTGATTGAGCAGATGACTCGCGATCAGGACCCCATAATACGTTATGGCGGCATGTACGCTTTGGCCTTGGCATACAGAGGAACATCGAACAATAAGGCCATACGTCAACTTCTGCACTTTGCTGTGTCAGATGTCAGCGATGATGTCAGGCGGACTGCTGTACTTGCCCTTGGATTTGTATTATATTCTGATCCCGAACAGGTTGATGCATTCTCTCGTGTTTTTTTCCAGTCTTTACTATCCGTCTTCCCGTGAAAGATATGTTTTGAATCTCAGATGTGCTGAAGCTGTGTGTGTTGTTTACTTTTCTTCACTATGCAGACCCCTAGAATTGTTTCTCTGTTGTCAGAGTCCTACAATCCGCATGTTCGGTACGGTGCTGCACTCGCTGTCGGGATTTCTTGTGCTGGCACTGGTCTCAGTGAGGCCATATCATTGCTGGAGCCCCTGACATCAGATGTCGTTGATTTTGTTCGTCAAGGTGCTCTAATTGCAATGGCAATGGTGATGATTCAGATCAGTGAAGCCAGTGATTCTCGTGTCGGTACTTTCAGGTATTGTATCTTATTTGGGTCATAGGCTTGTGCTGTGAATGCTGTTAAGTTCGTTTGGAGTTTTCATCTCTGTGCAGAAATCTATGGAACATTTGATTGTGGATAAGTTCTTAATACCATTTTCATTTTGCAACTCTCAATCTTGACTCTCGGTCATACTCGTATTCCAATCATATGCACCTTATTTACACAATTACTTCACTACAGTTAACATCTTGAGAAGATTCTACCCCATTTCGTCTTGAATTATTTACTTTAACGTTTGATTTTTCACAAATCTGTTGCCACTATTCACTCATATATGCAGCTGGACCGAATTTTAAAGACAAGTAATCACAGATACTTTTATGTCATGTTTTTTCTTCAGCTAATCTCTTTTTGCCTGTTACACTTAGGCGGCAACTTGAAAAAATTATTCTTGACAAGCATGAAGACACGATGAGCAAGATGGGTGCAATTTTAGCTTCGGGGATTCTTGACGCTGGGGGACGGAATGTTACCATCAAGTTACTTTCAAAGACGAAACATGATAAGATCACGGCAGTTGTTGGTCTTGCTGTGTTCAGTCAGTTTTGGTATTGGTACCCACTTATATATTTCATTAGCCTGGCATTTTCACCAACTGCGTTCATAGGTCTGAACTATGACCTGAAAGTGCCAAAGTTTGACTTCCTATCACACGCAAAGCCTTCATTGTTTGAATACCCCAAGCCTACTGTTGTGCCTACTGCTACTTCAGCTGTTAAACTGCCAACAGCTGTTTTATCGACTTCGGCAAGGGCCAAAGCCAGGGTTAGCAAGAAAGAGGCTGAAAAGGCACAGGACAAGGCCGAGACTAGTTCTGGCAAGGGTAAAACTGTCGACAAGGACATTGACTCCATGCAGGTTGGTCTTAGATTAATTACTTGTTTTGATTGACACTCCCATTTTCGTTAGGGATAGTTACAAATACTACCCTTGAGATTTGGCCTAATTACCCATAAATGGAAAAAGCCACCAATGAATAGAAAATGGAATCCAAGTTGCTTAGAAAACTAGGAGAAACACCCCTCTGACGTTTGGTGGAACTCAATGGAAACTGTTGACGTTATTTGCGTGTTTACAGTTATATCCCCCTCTTCTCTTGAATTCATAAATATTCCAAGCCTCTTCTTACAAGATCACATATGTAACTTTTTCTAGATATTTCAAATAAGCTAGATGAAAGTTTTTGCAGCCATGTATGTAATTCAGAAAGTTGAGCACCATCTGTAAAATAGTCAATTGCAAAACGCTAGGGGCACAGAGTTAAGACACACTCGACCCTTGCAATTTCCAAAATGATTAGTTGATCTTTTTTCTAGTAATTATTATTTCCGCAACTTGTATTTATAGTTTTGATTCACATTTGCTTCTCTATTCAGTTGGTGATGATAGATAACTGACTTCTCTCTGTATTTCCGGTGATAAGGTTGATACCGCCACCTCGGAGAAGAAATCCGAACCTGAGCAGACATTTGAAATTCTGACCAACCCCGCCAGAGTTGTCCCTACCCAAGAGAAAGTCATCAAGTTCCTCGAGGAGAGCAGATACATCCCAATCAAGTCAGCTCCCTCGGGATTTGTGCTGTTGAAAGATTTGCGTCCTAACGAGCCCGAGGAATTAATCCTCACTGATGCTCCCTCATCCACAGCTGCATCGAACGCCGGGCAGCAGGGATCCTCCGCGGCCATGACCGTTGATGAAGAACCCGCACCCCCACAGCCGTTTGAGTACTCATCATAATGTGTCTCTTGTTTCATATTGTCTGGAGGATAAGAATGTCAAGAAGGGTTTTCGCCATCTGATGAGGAATCCTTTCGCGAAAATCTTGAAGTGTGTGTACGACATTTTCTTCCATGGTTTATGTACTATGCAAGGGTGGGGCTGTAAAACTTTTGTACTGGATAAAAAGTGAGGTGGGGGCTTTGCATTTTCATTGTTCCAGTTCGGCGTGCGTCTGCATTTCATCATAGGGTTTCGATTTGCATTAGTTGGGACCTGGATTGTTCAACTATTTATTTCTTCCTAGGGTTTCGATTTGCATGGTTGGAACCTGGATTGTTGAATTATGTTTTGGTTTTGAGTCGGGATGTATTTTATTTATGTTATCTGAAATGCTCGATGTACTTTCAGTGGCTTTATTGTGACCGAATTTGGAATGGGAAATTCTCTGCAAGACTATTTTAGTTATCTGAGACTGTTTCCTTTAGTTTTTTGTTTTTCCAGATTACCATTCAGGATTAAAGTTCTTATATTATCTGTGAAGAAAGAGATTGTATTGGAGTGTATTTAAATCTGGAAACACGAAAATTTACTGTGATTTTGGATTACTGGTGACATATTGGTCAAAATGTTGTGCTTCAGGAACGAAAATGTCTGGGACCGATGGTTTCTTCAGATAAAGTCTTAATAACTGTAGTACTTGTTTCTGGTTTCCTATCATGATTAATTTCCCATGCTTTTTTAGGTTTGATTAATACTCATTTTTTCAAATTATTCTTTTCATAATTAATTTTACTTGATGAACGCATTTGTAGTATCTTGATTTTATTACAAATAATATGGACTAGTACGACACCCTACACGGTTGTTTGAAAAGAAAAATATAAAACATAAAATAATAAAAAAAACACATATGTTGTTGTCAATTCTTTAAAATATATTAGAAAGATCATATAATATTCTATAACTATTTCAATGTATTTTTATAGATATTCTAAAAAGATTTAAATAATTTATTTATGGTTGGATTGACAAGATATAATATGAAAGTGGCTATATATTTTTTCTAAAATTATAGTATTTTTTTTAATTTAAACTATATAAAAAAGTTATTGTTTACATTAATTATATAAATAAAATAATATATAAAGCTAATTTTTTTTATTTTATTTAAACTAAGATGTAATGTTGTCAAGTAAGCTGGCATATAGGAATCCTATTTATTTGAGAAGTCTTATAAGATAAAGAATCCTATTTAATTTGCAATTGGAGGATTTACACGACATATAAAAAAGAATCCTATTTAATTTGGAGTTGGAGGATTTACACGACATATAAAAATTTATTAAGTATTTTATTTTAAACAATTAGGGAATATATCCGAACCAAAAACCGAAACATGTAATGTTGCCAAGTAAGTTTCCGAAGCGCGCGAAGCAGCCATTTAGGCTCAACACGTTTTCAAATTATATTAGGTTGGATAGCGAGTAAGTTTTACTTTCTTGGATGTTCCTGAATTAGTGTTGAATTGCATTCAATATGGTTAGGCTTTTTTTGTGGTTGCATTCGGATTACATTTCAATGATTTTAATTAAGAAGAATTTGCACTCCATACTATCAAATATATTTTATATTACATATTTACACGTAATTAATAATTATTTGCAAAGATAGAAAATCACCCCAACATATTTGCACATATACTAAAATTTAAATTTAAGTCAATATATCCTAAAATTAAAGTCCTTATCCATGTTTCAACCCGAAAGACCCAATCATATCCAACAATCATCATCCATAGTCCCAACACCAAAACACACGACCGGCGCCCGATAAATTATCCGAAGCTCCATTTTTCCTCTATCGTGGCCCGGTTTTATGGTGCTCGTACCGATTCCATATCTGTAAAGATGATGACGATGGAGGGGATGATGGACGAGGTCGTACTGGACGACATAATCCGACAGCTGCTCGACGGGAATGGGGGGAAAACAAGTCAAGCTCTCGGAGGCGGAGATCCGATGCATATGCGTCAACGCCCGCCAGATAATGAACCTTTGACGCTGATCTTTTGCATGCTCTAGTATTATGCTTTCATTGTAAAAATTAGTTTATGATAAGTATATGTACATCATATACCAAATATATAATAAATATAAACTCAATATGTACTGCCATTCAAGACATGAAAAATTATACTAACTTTTAAACTCAACATATACTTCGTTGTAACTGTAATTTTTACGAAAAAAATACATATACCGTCAATAAAACACAGTTAAAGAAACGACAAAAACAAAAAAAATAATACGAAACCAAATAATGTTTTTTATCAACGAAAAATACCATACTATATCATAGTTTATGTGTGGTATAGTAAGAGAATTTTTTATTGAAGTCGAAACTAACAAAGGAGTAATTTGTTGTTTTGTTTTTTTGGTATATTAGGAGATTATTGCAACATATACTAAATATATACTAAATATAAATTCAATATATATTGCCCATTCAAGAGATGAAAATTTATACTGAATTTTAAACTCAACATATATACTTCGATGATGAAATTTAACCGTGTCCTTTGTTTTAGGAAGAAGGTGAAATTTAAACTCAATATATTGTCCTTTGTTTTATACTAAACTAGTACAGTACCCGTGCGATGCACGGGGATTTATTATCTCCATCCCTTTTAAAAAACAATTGTCAATTAAAATTCAAAGTACTTACTAAAAGAAAGATCATGTCATTGACAATTAATAAATTAATAAATATAATAAAAATAAAATCTTTATATTATTGAACATTTATTTATATACAACGTTCATGGTTTGATTCTTTGACACTTCGTCATCGCCACAAATTAGGATTTTCAAACAATCTATGTTTGTGACATGTTCGCCTATATTTTTAAAGTTCGGCCGCCAGTGTACGGCTTCGCTCGTAGTATGTGGCAAGCATGGTCGTATCGCAAGAGACCAAATAATTAATATATCAAGTACCAGATTATGATAATGTCTTTATTTAGACGATCGAATATGACATGGATTAGCTAAACTAAGAAAATAATTCAAAGGAAATAAATCAAAAATAAAGAACTAGCTAGAGAAACACGTAAGAAAATATATGGGAATGATAGATTATAAGACCGTGGTTTCAATTAATAGTTGGGTTCCTTCAGAAATATCACAACTAAATGTTCCTTTATTTACCCTATAAGATGATCACAAATTTAGTTTTTCGTCCCTCTCGAGATGGATAAAACTGTAAATTAAATCACTTATATTAGCGTCTCCATTCAACACATGCAATTCAACTCCAAATAGAATTAAAGATCTAACATCCTCACAACGACTGTAACGCCCCGTTTTATTTTAAAGGATTTACATAATTTATTTATAAAAATCAGAGTAACTTTTTTTTCTTTTTGCAAAATCCCAATTTAAAACATTAAAGATCAACGGGCGCTACTTAACTGTCAACAATAATTAAACAAATATGAACAAATAGGTAGAACCTACACATACATAAATTAATAATTATAAAATCAAACCGAATAATTCATAAACTCCAAATCCAACCAATTGGTTCAACACAATCCAACAGTTCAACTAACATGTTCGAAATAGACAAGGCGGAAGCATAATTATTCCAAGTTAAACAATGGTTCATGAAGATAGAATATAGCGGAAGCAAATAACACACCAATCCGACGACCACCACTCGATCGTCTCTCATTGCCGCCGCCAACTATGCTCAACCTAAAAGGATAGGAAGAGGAACAAGAGGACAGAAAAGTAAATGGGGGTGAGTACAACCATCATACTCACCATTACCGCACAGTATATTTCGCATAAAGATCCATAACTATAAACATTGTATGCATAGAATCCAGATCTAACTCCCTATTAGGCCCTATCGCAAACCTCCTATGTACATACAACAAACCTTCCGACCAGACATCGCAAGGGTGTAACTGGAAGCACTCTCACCCCGGATGCAACGGGCGTAGGATCTTACCAGGAGACAGTGAAGTTGAATTACCCCTCCGCTCTATACGGATTCGGGCGTTCAGACAATCCCCTCCGCTCTACACGGATTCGGGCGTCCACCTCCCGGATGCAACGGGCAGGTGACTTCCACTGATTATGCATTCGTCAAAGGCACTACCATCAGGACACTTAGACTAGGGTTCTCACGCATACAAAAACTATCGCGACAAACATTTATACGAAATAACAAGTGTGATAAATGTAGATTCAACATAAATGAACCCACCTGGTAGCGACTGGAATAAACACAAAGTAAGGGTAGGCGACGAGGTTGACTCGTCAAACACCTACATTTATTAAAATAGCCTTATCAAGGACTATTCGGCAATTTACATAGTCCAACTAAGTACACTTAATCATTTAAGCATGCATTAAAACAAGGGAAAGACATTTTCGAAAATATCACATAAGTTTCGAAAACTTGACCCGTGCAGCGTTTTTAAAATTGACATAACTTTCAGCATATAACTCATATGAACATGAATCAAGTTGCATTGGAATGCTAAGACATGTATCTACAATTCATATAAAGACACTGAAAGCAAATAAGGTCATTTAACAGGTAATAAGTCAACAAACATTAAACTTTGAGTCACAGTCCAAAACTGGGCAAATAATCTTGACCAGACTTCAGTATTTATTGTATCACCGGAGCTACAGGTATGCTTTTGATGGAATTCAAAAACCAAATGATAGGAAACTTAAATTTCTACAACTTTTCTGAAGATCACATTGGCAAATAATCACATATTCAATGAGTGTAAACACAAAATACTTGGTTCAGTAAAACTGTCAAAATTTAACATATGATAGGGACAACTCTTCAGTCTTAATCAATTATCTTGAGCTACAGACCTCCAAATGATATGGTTAAAGTATCAAATTAAACCTTAGGCATGCCTATACAATTTTCATTTAGAACATGGAATCATAAGAGATCATTTGGGTAGTGAAAAATCGGTTATCATTTATTATCAGATTTCTGTTAAAGTGGCCAATCATAACTCATGCATATCTAATTTCATGTGAACACAAGTCGAGTTACAGAGCACATATCAACATGAAACTTATCTCATTTGAAAGGTAAGAAACAAATCTACAACTTTCATAAAGAGTATAAGATCATACGAGCACTTTATAGCATGAAAAACAGGTCATCCATTAAAATCATATAAGCTGCAGGGTAACAGGAAAACTGGACGCGCACAAATTTTGTAAAAATCATTACTTTATCGATATAGCTTGGAATTGAGAAATTCTAAATCCCAGATTTAAAAAACTGAATGCACTATAATTCTCATGAAGGTCACAATTTCAAATAATCAGTCTATGATGGCTTAAAGCGCAGCACAACGGAGCAGTGAAAATCCTGATTTCACATAAAATAACGATCATATGCATTTCGAATCTCAACTTTGGTTCATTTGACGGCTCGACAGCCCATTTTATCACTTATACCTCAGCAACGAATGAACATTTTTGAGGATTTCATAGTCACTAATGACGTTCGATAATTATTAGACGAGCAATTATTTGATTCGAACATATTTTCATCAACGCATATCAATTTACGAACGACACACATAATATCAATGATTGACGAGTTCAGCAA